CTGGCTAAATATCGCAACCATGAAAAGGGCAGCGAGAATACACAGCAGAAAGGAGAAGGACCACAGTGGCTGAAAATAAAGCCCACTGTGGGACTTAACCTCACTGGCATGTTTCCAGCACATGTGCCTTGCAGAGGAAAAGATTCTGTATCTTCTCTGTTAGTTGTTCCTGACCTTTCAGTATTCACTGTTTGTCATCATTACTCAGTGAAAGACAAAAACAAATCATTCTGAATTTTCATTTAAAATATCCTTTGAGCCCTTTCCCTGTCTCTCTCCAAAGAGTCATTTTATAGTCTCAGTAACACTATGTGACATGCACTATTATGCCTTATAGTTTTCCGGTACTGCATAATGCAACTTTCTGTTTCTTGCATCCTCTCAACAAGAATAAAGCAGATTTAGAAGGGGTTGGGGTTTTTTTACTCAGTTTCACCTTGTTAAATAAAATATGACCTTCAATCTTGCCAAGTTACCTTATGTCACAAAAACAGATTTAGACCTAGCCAAGAAAGCATTTCACAGAACAGAGCCACACTTGGATACTTTCTTTTCCTGAGTTTGCTACTATGTAACATTAAAGTTCTGTGTTTTTTAGGATATTTCAGACTCTACCTATGTTGGTGGAAGTGCTTTCTAACCAAACCCCTTCTTCAGCGCAAACTGGAAAGTTATTTCTTCTGGTATACTTGAATCTCCTCTGACAGACAGAGTAGATAGACCTCACTCCCAAGCTGTGAAGTACAATTCCGCAGCAGTTCAGCATGCTGTACCTCTAGTGGAAACCCAGTCTACCTATGCAATGCAGTGAAGCAGGGGGCAGAAACCACCTGAAAAATGGATGTGTTCATGTTCAATTGCAAAAGAAGCAGCTTCTGAACAGCTTGTATAACAACATGTAAAATGCAGACTTTGTGAAAGGAGTGGTATTTAGTTGCTGACTTGTCTCTTGCAAGCTGTCACTTGGTTCACGCATGTAAGGGATAGGACCAGAATGGAAGGTTATACACCCTGTGATAGAAGAGAGGAGGCAAAGAATCATCAGTTTAAAGCCAGCCATTGTTGGAATTTACTCTCAACTGCCTTATCATGGGGAGTGCTTAGACCCAACATCGCCCAGTAGTGTCAACTACTTTAACACAATTTTTGTATTTAATTATACCTATCATTAAATTTAATTTTTTTTGGTACTGTGGAGTTCAACAGACTGGCAATGCAAATAAAGGGAGTTTCATTGCAATTATGACAAGAAAAATGGAGAAAAGTGGTTATTTGTCAAACAGCATATTTTCAAGGGGTATTTCTTAAACTTCTTCCTTAGTTCTAATTAGATTTTTCATTCTATAATGTCCACCTCCCCCTAAGGCAGTGGAAAAGGAGAGAAATGATTCTCTGACTTCTTTCATAAGTTATTCTGGAGCAGTGCATGAATTTTTCTCATTTTAATGAGATTTATTGATTAATTACATAGACCCTTAAGATCACATTCATCCGAAAGGCATCATTACTGAAATAGAAAAAGAAATTTCATTTCATCTGAAAGTCATTGGTGACCTCTAATGAGTGTTAAAAATTTAGTAGTAAAGCATCTTCAAGCTTTGCACGGCTTTTTAGTTACTTTTTTTTTTCAAACATGCCAGAACTAGCAGAGCTGTTGCTTTGAAATTTCACGATTTATTCTAATTGTCCATTCCCTTGTGTGCTACAAGAATGGTTTTCAGAGAGAACCACTGGGACTACATCCTGAACTTCCACTTCAGACAGAACTCCCACTGCAATGTCGGCAATCTGACTGGAATGTGGACACTGGCATTCACAAAGCAAGTAAGACTAGGATGAAGATTAAAGCCTTGATCTTGCAAAGGTTTACACACTTGATTAATTTTACATACTGGGAGTCATTCTATTGGCTTTAAAGTAACACTCAAGAGGGTGTATCTACTGTGGAGTTATACCTAATTAGCTCCACAATAAAGTGTCACACATCTACACATGCAGAACTATTAGGTTGGAGTAAACTAACTCTGCTGTAGGTTAGTACTGCCAGATACAAGTACTATCCTACAACAAAGTTATTTACCCTGTTGCAATACATGTGTAGACAGTGATGGGGCTGGTTGGGGCATGAGGGTGCTTCAGTGTGCGGGCTGCCTGCCAGCTAGCCTCACACTGAGGCACCCTCATACCTCAGCCACCCCTCCACAGCATGTTAAGCCAGGTCAGAGCAGCCCCAAGCTAGCAGTCTGACCCCCAGGGCCTCTGTCAGCCAGGGCTGCACCACCCTGGATCAACACGCTGTGGGCCTAGGCATATGTGTATACGCTGCACCCAGGAGCAATAAACTGTGTCACAAACTATGCCAGATTTTATCGAGTGCCTTAATACACATGTGTAGATGTGCCCAAAGTGTGTAAAATTATGCCAGTGTATCTCCTTTTCAACAATATTATTTCCCTCAACAATAAATGCAAGACCTGCCAACACATCTCTATGGCCAGAACAATCAACACATCAGAATGAAACCATCAAAATCCATGGATCATACACTTGTCTATCCCAAAATGTGGTACACTGCATACAGTGCACCAAATGCCCTCATGGTAACTATGTGGGTGAAACTAAACAAAAATAACATACCAGAATGAATAAGCACCAGAAAATAAAGAATAGAGACACTAAAACATAGATAGGGAAACATTTTTCACAGAAAAATCACTCACTGTCTGACCTCGCAGTTCTTGTGCTCAAAGGAAATCTACCTGACACTTCTCGTAATATTAGCTTGGAAACAGAAATTCCAGAAATTAGCCTATACGGATTTAACACAGACAGTGACCTCATAATGATCTACTTGATAATCTACCATTATAATATAATCTCTGCACTTCACAGGTGATAATGACCCTCCTGAACACTCTTGTTCCTTCTATATCAGGCTGTCACTGCATCTCTCCTGCATGTTGACAATCTGATCATTTCTCTTGTACCCTATTTTTGTTTATAAGTTTTACACAAGTTTTTGTTACATATGCAACTTAACTCTTCTGTGTCTGCTCCTATCCTAGTGCTTGCAGACATTAAAAAAAAACAAAACAAAAAAAAACACATTTTACCAGAAGCAGAAAGGCCTTACTTTCACCCAGCTCTGCAGTGTCCATAAATATTGGGCACTTCAGTAGGACTTTTGGTGCTTTTAGCTAAAGCTGATTCAATAAGCTATTTGAAGAAGTGCCAAAAAGCCCCATTAAAGCACCCAATCTTTATAGATGCTGCAGAGCCAGGTTGAAGTAATGCACTGACTCTTCTGGGCATGCACAGGGCTTGGCACAGGAACGCACTGAGTTTAAAGTAAAGCTCCATTTTGGCTTTTTTAACTGTCTGCAAGCAGCCTATGATACCAGAATGCTTGCCTATGTCTATCTCAACCAAACAGCTGGTCCAATAAGAGATATTACCCACAAGAATTCTTGCTGCTTGCATCCTTCCTGGACCATCACAGCAATAACATCACTGTAACACAAGCAGGAAGGAAAGAAATTTCTAGAGGATTCTTAGACTTATCAGTAATTGGGGAAATGCTGATGCATGCAGGGTTCATTTGGAGGTATTTAGGAAGGCTATCTATGAAACAGTTGTGGTCTCTGGATTATCCTAGGCTTTGGGGGAGTTCAAATCCCCAGTGGTCAGGGCTGGCAGGATCAGCTGGCAGGCTGATCTCTGGAAATACTGGCAGGACTCTCAGAGGAGCTAGGTTGTAACCAGATGAGAAGGTAAGAACTTTCCTTCTTTTTGTTGTCTTCAAACTAAATGGTGAGTTTTAATTGTATAATTCTTTTCTCCTATATAATAAATACCTCTGATGTTTTGTCTTCTAAATGACTGTTTGTGAGAAAGTGAGATCTCAGGTCAAGTGATACTCCAAGCTAGCCCATTCTATGGAAAGGGGGGACCTACAATTCTTTCACAATACAAGGGGAAGCTACCTGGAGCCACCAGAGATTTGTCTCCTGCAGATGTGGAGTCCCATAGAAGGGCAGTAGAGCTGAAGTTGTGGGGAGAAGGACTCACCCCAGGGCAAACCTTAGTCTGTTCCTTGGGACAAGCTCTGGGACAGTGGGAAGAACCTTGTGGTTCTGGCAGTGTCCCATGGACAGATTTGTGATAACTACCCTCCTCAATTGAAAAATAATGTTCTAATTCATGTCTGTGTTGGGTGTTTGCCACACTCTATTGCTGAAAGAGCCCCAAAACAATTGTGATACAGAAGTGATTAGTCCGTGCTAAGAAACTGTTTATTCAAAATGATCTCCTAGAAGTACCTGAAATACAAAATTCATAGAGAGAGATAAAAAGGATGCTCTGGAGTTCTTCTCAAATGACTGCACAGCACAGAAAAGCAAAACTGTCTCTAAACTCAGACATTAAACTTGGGAACTGAAACTAAACCTGGGCTCTTTCTTTCCTGTACATAACCACAAGCAACAAAGAATTTACAGATCAAGTTCTGCCCTGACTCAAGTCTTTTCAGGACAACTCTCTTTAGACTCTGACCTACAACTGAAATTTGTTGACAGCTCTGTTGATGCATGAACTAAAGAAGAATCCAGTCCCTTATTCCAGCTCTGACAAGTTCCCAAACTCTGACAGATTGTGCACCACCAATTTAAAACAATACAACCTTAAATACCACCAGCAAATTTTTGTCATATAAAGTAATTATAATAAATCTGTTAACGTGTACCACTGACAGATTCTCTGCATACCACTGGTGGTACCCGTACCACAGATTGGCAACTGCTGCCTTATTCCATGTCTGAGATGGTTCTGTAGTCCCCTCTGCACTAAAACTATGTAAAAGCTTATTTTTGCTACTTATGTCAGCACACTGACTTGGGGACATGCAGCATTAGTCATTCTTTGAAATAAAATCATGCTTTGAGTTTAGTATTAACCATTTGATTTTGAAGAAAAATCATAGACCTCTATTAACAGTTACTTACCTTTGCATACACCTGTGATATTTTCCCATTTCTGACTTACTGTGCATTCTGAAAAATTTCTGTCTCCATTAAAGTAATACCCTTCTATACATCTATAGTACACCCTGCTCCCCAGAGATGTGGATTTGTCCCAGATCATTTCTGTATGTGGAATCCAAAAAGGTCTGCCACAGTCTATTTCTGGAGAAAAAAATAGAGGACAAAAATTTACAGCAAGCCAGGACATGACAGAGAGTTTAGGATGTGCTAATTGTTTCACCAAATATTACTTCACTTATTTGCTAAATTAAATAGCAAATCCAGGAGTTCAGGATTTGTGGGGCTCCTAGCACAACGGGGCCCAAATCCTGGATTGGTATCTCTAGATGTTCCAGCTACAGAACACAATAATACAACAAAACATCCTATAACGCAATGAGAAGGAGAAGTTTAGGAGCACAGTGGAACCTATTACCAAAAAGGACCTCCAAGTTACATTTCACAACTGGGTTTAGCACCAACAACTTCAAACAACATTTTTGTCTCTTCACATATTCTACCTGTCAGCAACAGTGGTGGCAACTCAGATTCTCTACCTGAGCCCTGGTACAGGACAGAGGAATTTATAGGCTAAGCCAGGAGAGCTCAACCCCTGGCTCATGGAGCTGTGTCATCCAGCCTGCGAGTCTCCCCACAAGTCTGGAAATTGGGTGGCAGGGGAGTAGAGGCTACATTAATTGCTGCTCCCTGCTGCCAAATTTCCAGACTTGTGGAGAACCTTGTGGGCCAGATGGTGTAGCCCTATACGCTACTCTCTCTGGTATAAAGTAACTTTATGTCTCAAGGGCTAGTATCTCAGCCTTGCACTGCTCAAGTGGTAAAGTGGGAAGGGAAACCATTTATACCTCCTTAGTTGAAGGTCCCCCTGCTGTGACTCATGAATAACCCTGTGGACTGGTGCATGGGGCCAAGTTAGCATGCTGCTAGACTGGTACACAGCCTGATCTGGCTCATGGGACTGCACCTGCAGACAGGATGGACCCACACACTGACCTCTTGCTGGGTCAGGCCTTAAGACTAACCCTGCCCATGGGATGCAGCTTGCAAACTGTCCCCACACCATTCTTCTGGCCCGTGGTGCTGGATAAGTTGAGCAGCACTGAGCTAACCTACAAAGGAAATTTAGGTTGGATATTAAGAACATTCTCACCACGAAGGTGGTTAAGTACTGGGGCAGTTTATCTAGAGGTTGTAGAATCTCCATCCTTGGCAGTATTTCAGTGCAGGTTAGGTAAACGTTTGTCTGAGAAGGCTTTGTTAGGAATGACCCTGCCTCGAGCAGGGGTTGGACTAGGTGATATCCCGATGTCCCTTCTACGTCTACTTTTCATGATTCTACGATTCTGTAAGGCTGGTTATGGTCCTCATGTCTCAGGCATAGTGCCTGCTCAGCAAGGCATTCTTCATCAGGGGACAGCCCATGGTGGTGTAGGAACTGACTATGACAACTTTGCCTCCACTGAAGGTCCACCCACGTATCAAGGGGATCTTCAACTAAGGAGATGTATATTGTTTCCCTTCCGTCTTTGGCATTTGAGCAGGGCTTGGATCCTAACCTTTGGGATATAAAGTTACTTTATACCAGAGAGAGAAAGAAGATTTTCCTTTCTAGTGCATATCCCAGTTTTGATATTCCCAACGTTTGAAAAATTGTAAGAGCTTCTAAGGAGGGACATGGAAACCAGAATCAAGAGAGATCTGCTTTCCACTACTGATACATTTAAAATGAGGTTTTGAAGAGGAGAAATTGCCTTCAACCAAGACAAGGAAAAATCACAGAGGAAACATTTGTAGGTTATTCCAGTCTCAGGGGAGATAATTAGAAAATTGGGGCAATGGACTTAAAAACTGATTCACTTACTCAGTGGTTTTGAGGGTCTTCATAATAAAATTATGGAATTAAAAGAATGAAGAGGGAAGATTGAGTTAATGAAAGAATATAATTTGGGGCTAAAATACATTTTGAAATCCACTGTGAATCCTCCACTACAATTAAAGATTATACATTGCTTCATTTAGAAAAATGAACAGTAGAAGCTAAATTAGGAATAAAAGTATTACCTTAGCTAAAGCTCACAAATGGAAGGGGGATGAGGGGATTGCAAAAGAAATCTTAAAAAGAAATAACTCTGAAGTTCTCTCCAGAAACAGAGATAAAAATAGACAAAGTCTGCAGAAGCCTCACCAGGTGACCTACAGTATCACCTTTAAATGGAAATGTAAAAATATGCAGCAATGGGGAATAAAACTGCTATGCTAATCACGTTCCTGTCTCTACCTCAGGAAGTATGTGCTATGAAACACTAGCATGAGCTTTCTCTCCAAGAGATTACATGCAACATATGCACCTTTAGTCTGAACCTAAGTTACACAAACAGAGTGGTATATGATGCCTTTTAAATTAATAAGCAATATTTTGGAAAAGGGGGCCTGTAAGAAAACCTTGCTACCCACCCATCATTATCCTTCATAGCTAGCAAAACTGAAAAGCAAACTTGAGAGATGTGTATTTGCTATGTAATGGAGCAAATATTTTCTTAGGTGCTGAGCCTCAAATTAGAACAAAGCTATTAAAGCAGATTCCCAAAATAGAGGCACTTTAAGACAGGCTGAAATACTGCCTAAGTAAACTTGAGCACATATTAAATTTGACGCTAAAGAATAGAAGAATGACCTTTGCAGGGTCAAATCTGTGGGAGATGAATCCTGTAGTGACTGGAAAATGTAATTATGCCAATTTAAAGATTGAGTAAAAACTAATAAAGCCTCAGGGTATGTCAATTAATATTCAGAGTTAATAGAAATCTTTGAGTAGTTGTAAACCACATTTTAGTGGGGTGACAATTTTTTTGTTTATTCTTGCTTTTCATCTTAATGCAGACTCAGTGGAGTATCCCTCCACTTTTAAAAGCAAAATGGCTATATGGTTTCTGCCAAACTACAATAAAAATACTCTACTAAATCTCTGTAAGCAGCTGATAGTACTCTGACCCTCTAAGTAAAAAAGCATTTTAAGTGATAGTAAGAGTTGGATATCTAAGCAGCAGAATCAAACTCGGTGCTCAGATAGCAACAATCCGCAAACGCACATCACTTAACTTCTGTGGAAAAGCTCACATGAAGTAAAAAGAACTCCTTGTGCCAGGAACTGCATGTTCATGCACAAGCATTTGCAAGATCATGCTCTAGCTCACATCAGGCCCTTAGTTTTTATTATACAATATCAGAAGTATTTTCATGTTTTTCAACAAAAAATGAATTTGTTTTATTTAAATATTTACCATCAGCTGACCCAAGCAAATACTAATGTTTTAGTGCTAAGGATAAAAAAAAAAGAAGCTGACTAGCCTAGTTTCAACACAAAGGTGAATGATGTGTAAAAGTGATGAACAATCCTAAAAGTGGTGAATGACCTGATCAGCGGTTGCCACGTGGTGTGCCCACTGGTACTGCTGGCTCACTGCTCCATCTTGCTTCTAAGGACTAAATCCATTCTATAGTTATCTGACTGGTTCTTCTTGTCTGTGAAAAGCTCCACTTGGGGGATATTCAGTACACATGTAATTACAGTCGATTTATTTAAGTTGTTCATCTTGTGCACATAGGCTGAGTGAGAGATTTTATGTTGGTGTAAACCAGCAGAGATTTTCAGAGCTGCAGAAATTCACCAGCCTTCAGTCTTCACAATCCTCTAACTTTAATATTCTATAGCTTTATTAGCAATTCAAGAATGAACTGCTTAACATACAGCTTTTATGTTGCCAGAACTATTCAAGTGATGGTAAAGCTGGCAGATAGACTTCTCAACTCGGTAACAGGGAGTTTTCAAGCTGATGGCCTCAATGTGATGACCGCTGTTCATGGTCATTACTGAAATAATGCTAATGATCAATAAATCTGTAAGTATTATTTTATTTACCTTTGCATACCAAATCAGCACCTTCCCACTGCCCCGTGGCACTGCAAACTGCTGTCTGATTACCATTTTCCATCACATAACCATGCATACAAATATAGACAACTTCACTTCTATAGGTGGTCCTACTCAGAGGTGCTGAATAGGCTTTTTCGACAGAAGGTGGAACTCCACAATCCACAGCTATAAGCAGAAGTGGGAGAAAAAAAATAATCATGTAAGGACAATAGAAATACAGGATCCTAGTCTGCTCACAACAATGCCATGAGGCCCTTTATTTTAAAGTGAGAATTTGTTTGAGTTCAGATATATTAAAACATGCACTGACATATTTTTTATAATGTAAAAAACTCCACTGTAATGAAACAACCTTTAAATCTATGAAATTCAACAGTAGGCTGCACAAAAAGGCAATTTCTTTGAATCAATGCCCATCACTTTTATTTGTTTTTAGTGTAAGCCTTTTGAAAAGATGTTGGCATATTTAAGTATGCATATGTTTACACTATAACATACCTCCTTCATTTCTCCACAGACAGACACCATCACGCTCAGAGACGCCTACTCTCCTCACAGAATTATGCTGTAATTTCAAGATAATTCTCTTTGTTAACTCCTAAGTGAATTTACAGTCTTCCCAAACAAATTACTTCCATATTCACATGTTTAAATCAGACAGGATTAAAGGGCCCATGCCACCTAAAATAGCCTGACATGAACCTATCAAAGCAAACTACACTTCAATTATAATCTCTACTATCAGAAAGGAACAATCTGTTATGCTGCTGTATGAAAATATTTTGGAGTCTAGCTTGTAAGTAAAGTGTGTATTCCTAGTTTCCTTGAGCAAAGAGAGATTATAAATTGTGAGGTTTTATTAAACTAGATAGGATAAATGAGTCAATAGTAGGATTGTCAGACCTTAAGGAATTCTTTTAAGACTTCTCCATTAATAAAGAACAAAATGGAGCTGATAGTGCATTAGCATAAAATTCTTAGTAGAAGTGTGAAAAGCTGGCCCTTGCCTGTAGCCAGCCTGGACTCTGGGCAGCTGCAGCAGGCAGGCTGCAAACAGCTGCACCAGGCTCTGCAGCCCCGGCATCCACTCCATACCAGTGACGGCATGCGCGCCTCAGAGCAGAGAGCAGGAGAGGGTTTCGCTGCCTCAGACCCTATCCCTGCTCTGTGCTCTGAGGTGCGCGTGCAGTTGCTGCCAGCATGGAGCTGATGCAAG